CCGTTTAATATTAGAGCTCATTTTTAATAATATTTCACAGACGCTCGGGATTTACGTTTAATCTTTAGTATAGATTTACGGTTATCAATGATCTATGGATTAAACGCCTTGTAACCTAAAAATAGTAAATGCCCCACGTTTTATAAATGCGCTGTCATGTCATATCATCTATGCCCTTAAGTGGAAACTATAAGATTGTCTCTTATATGCCCTTAAGTACCTTCAACGGTTGTCTTCAGGTCTTCAAATTTCTTACGGTTGTCGTCCATTTTACTCAGCATCTCTTTGTATTTGACATTAATTCTGTCCATTTTCCTACTGTTGTCGCTCATTTCGCTCATCATTTTCCGACTGCTGTCTTCCATTTTGTCATTCATTCTGTCAATTTTTTCGTCCATTTTCCTAGTGTTGTCGCTCATTTCGTCCATGATTTTCCTACTGTTGTCTTCCATTTTGTCCATCCTTTCATCTTTGATCTGCATGAGCAGTGCAATCAAACTGGGGTTTTCCATTGCAGGGTCTTCCTTCTGTAATTTACTTCTTGTTTCCTTCAAAATTCAACTTGGATTCTGGTAAATCCCACTTCTGACACCAAATGTACCGTGGATGCCCGAGTATCAAACTCTTTCTTCAGCTTCCAACTTTTACTCAACTCGGTATCACTTTAAATACGGAACAGGAACAAACTAACTCCTAAATTAACGTCAACTTCACAAACAATAACAATAACAAAGAGGGTCTTCCGACTCGCGTGGTTTAACCTCTTCAGAACTCTGAACTAAAAAATGCAGTTAAATAAAGCAATTGAGTATTGAAGCCTTGCTTTGATGATAAGCCATTATCTTGTCAAGTTCAAGCCGATTTGAGGCCAAAAAGATGCGATCCACCATGAGGCCCCCCCGAACAATGTGGTTGTTATGAGTTGTTATAAATCCTCGGTTAAAAGACTATTTTCTAGTGTCATCTGTTCGAGACTGGCCTCTTGAGTAATCTGATAATGTCGCTGCCGAGCAATACACGTTAAATCTTGAGGGTTTTTTGCTCATTCCGATTCAAGTATGCCAACTCGTTTGAGAAATTTATCTTTCCGTTCCTTGCGAAGACACTCTACAATTTCCTTTCCGACATTTTCCCGTTTCATTTTTGACGTCCAATTGTGGCCAATCTCCTCTTATCGGACTTTGAATTTAATTAAAACCTGATTGCTACTAATGAAATGAAACGGATCGACTTTTTAACATTTTGTGCAAATTAAGTGTTCAACATCGATTACGGGGGTCAACGTTTTTTTCAAGGGCTTCAACAAAACCGCATAACAAGGATCTTTACAAGTGTTTTACTGCAACAAACACTTTAATCCATACGTCGCTTAGAGTTTGAACGAACGCCTATCGAAAAATTTCTGAGGAAAAATGGTACCAAAAAAGCTCTGGTTTCGACGCTCTTGGTCACATTTCAAGAACAAATTGAGATCGAGCGCTCATTTTTCTACCACTGAATTCGAAATTAAATACCATTGCTTGGAAAATATTGGCGGTTTCTTGGCATATTCACTTCATATTTTCTTCTAAGCATTTCGTGTTGCACGTGTGTTTCAAAATACGCCGGATCTCCTCATTGTTTAGGCTTAAAAAGTCAAACACCACCAATCTGCAATCGACCCTTCAAAAATTCATTCTTCAAAACGTTGTTCAAACTTCAAAAAGCATCTAATACAGCTGTGAAGTTTTGACAACATGAAGGAGAAATATGGATAAATAGATGACAGAAATTTTGATTAAATCCACAAATCGCCCAACTTAAAAATAAGCACTGAAAATTGGGCTTAAAAAGTGAACAACCGTCAATCTGCAAACGACAGTTGAAAAGTTCCTACACTCTAAACTAGAGCTAGTAGAGCTATAGAATTTCAACAGTGTAAAGAGCAAAGATGGCTTAATTTGTGGCAAAAATTTCAACTAAATGAAAAAATCGTCCAATTTACAAAAATAAACTAAACTTAGGTTTTAAAATTGAAAAACCGTCAATCTGCAAGTGATGCTTTAAAAATTAATAGACTCCAAACCACATCCAACAGAGCTTTGAAGTTTTGATATCATGAATAATAAATATGGCTAAATAGATTACAAACATTTCAACTGAATCCCCAAATCGAAAAACTTAAAAATAAACAATAAAAATGGGGTTTAAAAAGTAAACAACCGCCAATCTGCAAGCGATAGTTGCAAAATTCGTACACTTTAAATTGGAGGCAGCACACCTTTGCCATTTTTCCTGTGTGAAGGACAAAGATGGCTAAACATATGGAGAAAATTCGAACTAAAATTAAAGATCGGCCAATTTACAAAAATAAAATAAATTTAAGATTAAAGAGTGAAAAACCGCCATTCTGCAAGCGACGTTTAAAAATTCGTACACTTTTAACTGGAGCCAGCATATGTATTTTTCGCAGTGTGAAGAGCAAAGACCGCTAAATATCGGAAAAAAATTTCAACTAAATCGAAAAATTGCCCAATTTTCTAAAATGAATCAAACTTAGGTTTCAAAATTGAAACACCACCAATCTGCAAGCGA